CTTCTTGGGCAAATAAATTGCCAGCAGCCGGAGGCAGAGTTCTCTTTGGCATGCAAATGGCGATCAAGATCGCGATGTTTGCCCGGCCTGTTATGAGTCAATCAGACGCCTGCCTACATTGTCACCATCACTTGGTCGAGTGCTGCTGCTGCTCCTGCTGCTGGCTGCCTGCAGCGCAGATGGAGGATGCTGCTGAGATTGGAAGATGGCAAGATGGGCGCTGGCGATTGTCGCGATTGCATCATAAAATTTAACGGCCCCGGCAGCCAATTCCAATTCCAGGCCCAAGTCCAAGTCCAGGTCCAGGTCCCAAGCCAAGTCAAAGTCATTGCATAAATTGGCAGCAAGGAGCTGCTATCGATGTGGCGGCGCGGCAGTGGTGGCTGCTGATGGGGCTTATAAGGCGCCGCTTAGGCAAAAAGGGGCAGGCACCACCAATATCCAAACCCCCAGCTGCAGCGCCTCCATTCAGCTGTCCATTTGGCCGAGATGTTTATGAGTTGACGAGGACAGGGAGCCAGCCCTACCGGTGGGTCCTTCTTTCATAATTCCCCCACCCCCACCCTCACCCCCACCCTCTCCTTCAGAGGTGCACGCAATATGCATCATTTAATGGATAATGCAAACATGAAAGGAGCCGCTGGGGGTCACTTCTCTGGCGCCTTTGTGCGTCGCCAGAGCTGCACGTCCGCCGAGACTTTCCTGACCAGCGCCGAGATCTGCTTGAACTCCTTGTGATCCTTGCTATTGAGCAGATTGAAGATGACACTCTCCGAGCTGGTTATCACGCAGCCAATGTCACGCAGACGCTCCAGAGCCAGGTCCCTGTCCTGATTGAGGCGCGAGGCACAGCAGTCGGCGACCAGCCACACATTCACCTTGTTGTTGATCAGGTCAAAGGCCGTTTGCTCCACACACACGTGGGCCTACGCGGGAGAAGAAGAGCGGAAGAGGGTTGTATGTGTAAGAGGAAAGGAAAGAAGGCATAAGAGAACCCACCTCTATGCCAAAGAGAACCACCGTCTGCGGCTTGCCACTGAAAATGGCAGCCATATTCTTCTTGATCGGGCCCACGATCATGCTGAACTTGGTCTTTGGTATGTTGGCGCAGGCATGCTGAATGTCCAGCTCGGCGACGGTCTTGCCCAGCCTCTCGGGATATTGTTCGGTCACCAGCAGGGGCACGTTGAGGATCTTGCCAGCTGCCAACTGCAATGCAAATTCATTAGATTCCGCCCATTATCTTGTCACTTTTGCTGTCCCGTCTCTCTGTTGCTGGCTTACCAATTTCTTGGTGTTTTCTATGAGCGCATTCATCAGCGGTATGGCGGGTTTGAACTTTTCCTGGATATCGCATTGCATAAACAGGGTTTTCTCTGGCTGCAGGCGGTAAAGATTCGAACCAATGGCTTTCCTCATGCTTGCATGGATTTGTCTTATTGTGTTATGGGTTGTTTTAATTTTCAATCATGTTTTCCCTAAAAAATAACGTTTTCTTCAAAGCCTCATATTTCAAACTTGGCGCGCAATCGACGCCATCTGGCGGCGCGTTGAGTAGGCTACAAATTTGCCAGCAACGCGTTATGATACCATAAATGGTTTATCGCAGCCAAACGAATTCGGTCACACTGAATCGCGAATAAAATTGCCGCAAACGACAAAAAAATTGCCGAATAAAATAAAAAAAAAAACAATACCAATGCTACATAATTCATGACGATAACAAACACGTGCCACGTTGTTTTGGCCATCGCCACCGCCGGCTAACGTTTCACTTTGCTGGACAGAAGGAGAAGAGAGAAAGAGAGACGAGACGAGACCAACTTTCGCACCGCTCTTGCTGCCCGTGTCGCAGCGTGCTCAAAGCCAAAGCAACCGAATTTATTAATTATTTTAAGCCAAAACACCGATGTGCTGAGAGCTCAATTGGTGGCCAACAGGTGAGTTCTGCTCTTCCAAATAGCCAAAAGTGAAGACATTTGGTTTCATAGAACTGTTTCATAACCAAAATTCACCTGAACGGACACCTATGCTTCTCTTTCGCACCGCCTGGCCTTTGTGTGTGTGTGTGTGTGAGGTTACCTACATGCGGCTTGCGGCAACCATCTGTTGCATGCGGCACAACAATGGGGCAGGGGCACGCAGCAAGAAGATTAAGTAAAAATATAGTTCATGTTCTTGGCACTGGACCAAGGCAAAAATCCTGTCATGTCACAACCGCAGCCCAACAAATCTCAGATGCATTAATTACCGGCCCCAACCTATTCGGCATTGCTAAATAACATTTGCTCTGATGATCTACGCGATTAATTTGCCTGCCTGCCTGCCGTGTATTTCAATTCAAATTGTCATCGAGCAAATTCAGTGTCGACGCCAGCAGCAGCTGTAGGAGCACTCGCACTCATTCGACCAAACGAAACCAAACCAAAGCAAAGCAAAGCCTTTATCAATTGGCAACGCAGTGGTAGCAGCGACGGAAGCAGAGCCACAGCTACAGCGCTGCTAGCAACCAATGTGTCAAGATGATTTAATCGTCGATGGCGCTGCTACTGCCGCTGTTGTTGCTGCCTCTTCCTCAGTCGCTGACGCCGCATACGCTCTCACTCACCTTCTCGCCGCCTGCTCCACTCTTTTGACGCCCCATGAATGGGTGGCCGTACATAGCGTGGCTTCGCGTCGCATTCAGTTGCTCACTGATCCGTTTGCCTGGCAGACGTCGCCATTCTCGGACGTAGGCGGTCTCGTTCGATTAATAACTGCTCGATTCCCATTAATTCTGTGGCCCACTGCTCCATACGAATATTGTGACGCGCGACGCATCGATAAATGTGGGTTGTCCACAGACCACAGCCAACCCCCAGCCTCAGCCTCAGCCCCAGCCCCAGCCCAATATACCCATGATTGCTTACACACTCCTCCCTTATTCCAGATATACACATAGTACAAAACGAAACGAGATGAGTCTACAATCGATCAAATACACTCGTGGCAGCCTGGAGATACTGGACCAGCTGCTGCTGCCGGTGCAGTCAAAGTATCTGCCGGTGCGCGGTGTGGAGGATGGCTGGAAGGTCATCAACAAGATGCAGGTGAGTGTGAGTGTGGCATGCACCATTGAGTGGCATACAAACATTCATATGTACATACATATATTCATATTCATGAGGGGGCAACGGTGGCACATGCCATTAAATTTCTACATTAAAATTGGTATTTTCCTTAATCGCGTCGTTCGTCGCTTGTCGCTTTTCGGTTGTCTATTGCGCCTGGCTATAAATAACGTAATTGAAATCAAAATTTTTAAAAACCGCTGCTTGCCAAAAATAAACCCATTGCCTACGCCCCACACCGCCGAGGATGGCGATGCGGATGGGGGCTGTCGCGGAAGACCTCTTACTGCTGGGCTAATGGCCCAAGTGGCCCCCAAAGTGCTGCTCCTCCAATAACCGCGAAAGATCACTTATGCAAACGTGTGCTCTTTGCATAAGTGATCTTTCGCGCCCCCCTCTTATCACGTGAAACACCCCACACAATATAATGTAAATTGTTTTCTTTCATTTTTCGCAACGTCACCAGATAAGCAGACTAAACACTAGTTCCCCCACACTCATTCTCCTTCTCCTTTTTTTTACCTTTAATTGCTTGTAGGTGCGAGGCGCCCCCGCGATTGCCATTGTGGGATGCCTGTCGCTAGCCGTCGAGATCCATCCGGAGGAGTTCGAGAGCAAGAAATCGCTGCGGCAGGAGATCGAGGGGAAGCTGAACTATTTGGTTTCGGCCCGGCCGACGGCAGTCAACATGAAAATTGCCGCCGACGAACTGCTTGCTCTGGCCAATGACCTGGCCAAGGATGACGACATCGACGTGGCCGCCATGAAGCAAAGGTAACAACGTCGCTAAGCAAAGCAACCCAAAGCCAGGTGCAGCCAAATATTCCCATGTAATTAAAGATTCCTGAATGCCACCGAGGCGATGCTCAAGAAAGACATTGCCGATAATCGTGCAATCGGTGCCCACGGGGCCAAGGCCATTCTCCAGCGTGTGGCTGCGGCGGCCGGAGCCCCAATGGCCGGTCCAGTGCGTGTTCTTACCCATTGCAACACGGGATCACTGGCCACAGCTGGCTATGGCACGGCTCTGGGCGTTGTACGTCAGCTGAGTGAGCTTGGAAAGTTGGGTGAGTATCTTGGAGCATGAAAATCACTTGCCTGACCACAGCTAATCCATCCATCCGTCCATCCATCTTTAGAGCACGTATACTGCACAGAGACACGGCCGTACAATCAAGGAGCTCGGCTAACCGCCTATGAGTTGGTGCATGAGAAATTTCCCGCCACCCTGGTGCTGGACAGCATGGTGGCGGCACTGCTGCGAGCCAAGAATGTGGCTGCCGTCGTTGTGGGGTCAGATCGCGTGAGAGTGCCTCACGTACATCGATCAAAATAGATATTTCATCTAAGCGTTTTTATCCACTCTTCGTAGGTGGCGGCTAATGGCGACACGGCCAATAAGATCGGAACCTACCAGATTGCGGTGGTTGCCAGGCATCACGATGTGCCCTTCTATGTGGCCGCCCCACTGACCTCCATCGATCTGCATATACCCAGCGGCGACCACATCATCATCGAGGAGCGACCCGATCGGGAGATGACACACGTGGGAGAGCATCGGATTGCTGCACCGGGCATCAACTGCTGGAATCCCGCCTTCGATGTGACGCCCGCCTCCCTGATCACGGGCATCATCACGGAGCGCGGCGTCTTCAAGCCGGCGCAACTGAAAGAGGCGATTACCAAGCTGCTCGAATCATAACAGGCGCACAGAATTTGTTGTTAACGATTGCACTCCATACCCCTAACAGAAAACAGAAAAAACAACACACCCATGCGCTCAGAATGGGCATTTTGCCAGCTGAGTTTTGTTTAAAAACGTGTTCCCGAAAAACGTACATAGCCCGTGCAATTAGCCGACCAGATGTGGGTCGGCCGCAGTGGCAATACAACGCACAATATACCTCCTACATACGTAGCCCCATTCCCCAGTTGTTGCCAAAGGGGCATTGTTTCGGTTAGCTTTAAAGCTGCTCGAGTGTCTAGCGCCCCTTACCAGAACCCACCCGCTTTGCCATGGAGTCGCAACGCCTGCTGCTGTTGCTGCCGCTCCTACTAATGCTGGGACTGAGCTGTTGTCGAGCCAACAATCGTCTGAACGTCGAGAATAATTACAGAAACATGATGGTGCGTCTCGCCACCAATCGGGAGGCAACTCGCGGCGAGGTGAGAGTTCTACGGGAGGGACGCGTCGAGGTGAGCTTCGACTTTGGCGCCACTTGGGGCACCATTTGCAGCACTAGTTGGAGCATGCGGGAGGCGAATGTCGTGTGCCGCCAGCTGGGATTGGGCTTTGCCTCAAAGGCCACTCAGAGCACGGAGCATGGGGACAACAAGAGGTATCCTTGGGGCATGGTGGGCACCCTCTGCCGTGGCACAGAGCGTCGCCTGGCCGAATGCACGCGGGAGTCGCGATATCCGAACATTTGCAATGCCCGGAATAGGAATGTAACCGTCGTGGCATGCGTAAAGCACTCGGCTGATCTGGAAATCGGCCTGGCCGACATCGAAAGATCCGCCCGCCTGGAGTCTGTTCCCATGTCGCGACTCACCTGCGCCATGGAGGAGCACTGCGTTTCGGCGGACGCGTACGTCATACGGCAAACGAAGCCGCATGCGGAGAGGATCCTGCTTCGTTTCTCCGTCAAGGCCACCAATGTGGGCAATGCGGACGTGAGTCCGTATGCCAACTACAAGGATTGGGTGTGGCATCAGTGCCACAGGCACTACCACAGCATGAACGTCTTTGCCACCTTCGATGTGTACGATTTGACGTATAGGAAGGTTGCCCAGGGGCACAAGGCCTCCTTCTGCCTGATGGATACCGAGTGCAAGCCAGGCCACACCAGGAAGTACACCTGTGGCAACACCACACAGGGTAAGTTCGAGCCGTTTGTCCCATATGGAGCAACGATATAACGAACGTTTTATCTTTTGGTAGGCATCTCTGTTGGCTGTTCGGATACCTACACCGATGTCCTGGACTGTCAGTGGGTGGACGTGACCCGGGTGCCCGTCAATCGACGATATATCCTGCGGGTGGCCCTCAATCCTGAGTACAAGCTTGGCGAAATATCCTTTGAGAACAACGGAGCAGAATGCACTCTCGATTATACGGGCGTGCATGAAACCACGAGGATTTTCAACTGCCGGCGTTCGCCATTGTGGTTTAAAATATAATTTAAGTTAGAACTCAGATAGTTTTAGCCTGGTGATGTGGTATAAAATAAAATATAACTTGTAAGATAGCTACTTTGGGTAACTTTTGTGTAGAGGAATAAAAGTGATACGAGTATAGTTTGTGAGAAAGCAATGCAAAAAGGTGCTGGGAGTCCCAGATAGAGCTGGCATCGGTCCCTGTCCATTCCTGTCCTATCCTCTGGACCTTAAGGACGCGCAGGTCTGGTTCAGCAACATTTAAAACTACCATCTGTCTCACATATACCGCTTTATCTCGGATACATGCTAAGATCCGAAAAATAGGAAGATAAATAAATAATTTAAAATAAATCCAACCCTAAAAGATAATTTAAAAATATTCCCCGAAATGTTCTCCTATCAGCCGAAAAATATGCCAACATTCCCCAAAAGATACTCAAAAAATGGTTTCATACTAGACAAAAAAAAGAAGTTAATATAAACTTGACGTGGAGTTGAAGTTGAATCCGGGTGACAGCCGGGACAATATGGAATATGAAAAATCGCACATCAAAATCAATCATAAAGGCACTGGCATCTGGAATATTGGATATGATTAATCTGATAAATATTCAGGAAAAAATCAGATGGAACGTCTGACAAAATTTACTTTGCTGAGACCACCAATTGCATTTCCAGATTTACTATATAACTATTTCTCGGATGCGGCTTACCCCGAGATTAATACGAGTCAAGAGCTCAAGGAAAGTTCTCCCTCTTTTGACCAAATTAAAAAAGAAGACAACAAATTAGTTAAATATGTTTATTGTTTTTGAATGTTCATCTCTTGACTTGTGTGTTTGTATTTCCTTTCGCTTACAGAGTAGATTTATTTATGTGTGTGTATGTATGTATGTGTGTATGTATATCTGGTATTTACGATTTACGATGCTCTATAAATATGCATTTAATTACTATAGATAAATATTTCGGCGCTTGCTCGGTTTGGTTTTCCTTTATTGTTATATGTAGTGCTTAATTGAGTGAGTCTGGGGATGGGGCTGAGTTGGCCTGGCTGCTTGCTGATGGCATTTGTCTGTGTGACTGTTTTGTCTGCTTTGAATGCTTTTCGTTTCCTTACGTTCTGTTGTGCTGGTTATACTCATACTCGTAGTTGTTCAATTCTATGTATGCCTTAAATTTGCTAGTTGTGCCTAAAATCAATTGAATTGGAACTAAACGTTGCACTTGGCAGTCATCCGATCCGCCACTGCCAACAATTGCAATAATTATAATTAATTTTTAATATTAACATAATAAATTCTCCAATTGGTTTTCATCTCTTGTTTTTTGTTTCACCTCCTTTCTTTGCTAATTATTACAAAATGCCTACGCTACGTTTACACAAAACTTAGACACTAGCCGACATCGATATCTCGAATGAATTAGCATTAGTTAGCGTAATTTGTTGTTAATTTATTGCATGACGAAACAAATATCAGTAATAACGTCCTCCCATCAGGAGGGTGGGAACAGCCCCACCCATCTTTGGGCCAACTTAAACTTAGGCAACAGAAAAAAAGAGTCAAAGAACAATATGAAAAGCGTAGCAAAAGTGTGCGGCAATTAAAATTAGGAAAGTCGTATAAATAATTTTAAAATGTACACCTCTCACATATGTACATACATACATATGTATAGTATGTGTATTGTGTGTGTGTGTGTGCGCTGATGCTTATGCTACGTACTTTATGTATTTATGCATGTACATATTATGCCTTGTATGTGTATGTATGTATGTTAAGTATTTGTTTAAAAATGCTTTCAAGTTTTCGAGTATTCATGTCATTTGCTTAACTGCCCTACAACTAGCTAACTAGAAGAGCCTTCTTCCAGCGCTATGTCCCCCGCTTGAGCACAAACTACTTTACAAATATTACAATCCATAGTGCTCCTGCTGCTGCTCCTGATGCGCATAATAGGGTGATCAATTTTATATATAGGTATAGTATATATCTATGTATAGCATTTGCATTTAAGTAACATTATTTTTTGGGTGCTATGGCAAACCAATTTGCGGCTTGCTTTAATTTCGGTTCCATAGTGCGGTCCTGCGTGCCGTCTGCATTAGCTCTCGCAAGCTCAAGTATAGTTAAATGGTATAGTATTTTATGCATACCACATTTTCAATTAAGTAACGCTCTAATGTGTGCTTAGTGTTTGTTTGTTTTGTTTGTTTGTTTCGGTTTGAAGGAGTCTTTTTTGGAAACATTTATAAAGATACTATACTTATGCGTGTGTGTAGGTGTTTTTTTGCAATTTCATTAGAAAATTTGATGTAAAAATACAATTTCAAAAGTGCTTCTTGCGCGTCAGTAAAGATAGAAACCCATTTTGGTTTTTTGTGTGTGTGTGTGTGTTTTTTTTTGTCTGTTTAGGTTGTGCTACGATGTTTTGCTTCTGCTGCTGCTGAATACCTCTATTTCGGGGTAAATTTGCGCAATTTGTGCTATGTGTCGACATCCACTACGACTGGCGTACGCGTAGAGGCTTCCTCAGAGGCTAATCTATGCTATCAGCTCTCTACCGTCGTGGAGGACACACTGTGACTAGTGGTTAACAGATGCTCAGGAATGGGTATGGGCTGTGTGCGTGCTGGCTGCTTCTTCTGCAAAACAGATAAAGGGGAATTCATTATAAAAGGATGTTCCAAAGCGTATGTTGTATGTGTAGCATTACTGTTACCTTCCGCCTGAAGGGGAAACATCCAGCCTTGTCCGGTTCGGGCGTTGCATTGATCTGCAAATCTGGCGTGGGGCACTCCTCGGGACCGAAAACGTTCAGCTCGCGAAAACACTCCGTTTCCATCATTTCAGTCTGCCATGAAATGGACACAGAGCCAGTGTTGAATTTCGTATAGAAATTCGTGTCGGATTCATCGATATTGACGCCCTTCACCGTCGAGAACTGTTCAATATCGAGTACATCTTTGGCGTAAACGGCGTGCGGCTGCAGTTGATGGGAAATGGAAAATAGAAAATGATTTAAGCAACAAAGAAAATTTAAACAGGACAATAACGTGGAATGTCATATTTAAATGACTCTCCAATCCACACTCACGTCTGGCACAAATGGCGGCTCGAGCATGCCAGCCTCCAGGCGGCGCCAATTCAGTTGCGTGGAGTGGAAGAACGGATGGGCCATCACATCCTGGGCCCCCATCCTGCCATTGCGGCACCCGAGGCGCTGCTTTATCGATTTAGCTAACAGCTGTTGGCACATTGATTTGGCTTCATCATTAAACTTGCTCGAATACTTTTCGGGATCCTCCTGTGAATGAATGGGATTAGAAAGGTCAGTGCCATGAGTTCGAATTGATAGGATTACATACCTTAACTCGCCTGTCCACCTCCTCACGCTTGACCTTCTCCTTGCGCATTCGGAATGGGGCCTGGCCCTCGATCATCTCGTACAGCAGGCAGCCAAAGCTAAACCAATCCGGCGAGAAGGCATACTTCTCATTGTCAATAACCTCGGGCGCCATGTAGCCTGTATTGAATTAAATGCGAGGGAGACATAGAGAGATGAAAATAAGGCTTTGTTTTCCAATAGAAATCCAATTGCAGCTTTAATGACTCACCCACTGTGCCGACACGTCCTCGCACCATCTCGCCCTCGGGTATCTCCACGGCCAGTCCCAGGTCGGATATGCGCACATGACCATGATCATCGAGCAGTATGTTCTCCGGCTTGCAGTCCCTATAGACAATGCCCTGCTTGTGCAGATGCTGCAGTCCGCAGGCCACCTCCGCGGCATAGAATCGGGCACGCTCCAGCTCAAAGCCCGGGTCGCCACCCATGTTGTAAATGTGGAATTTCAAATCGCCGCCTACAAAGGAGAGACAGGGTAATCATTTGATTGGCTTTCTCACAAAAACAGTGAAAGGGCGAGCAGTCCAGGCAAAAGCCAAAGCTTCAGCAGCAGCAGCATTATCTTTTCTGTTATTTGCAGTGGCAACAGAACAGAGCTGGCTGCTCTCTCTCTCTCTCTCTGACGGACACTGGCTTTTGTATATAAATTCAATTAGAGCCGTGGATTGATGGACGGAATTGAATGACTTCTCTGAGCGGGCATTGTGCGACCAGCATGTATGCAGGAATTTAATTAAAATCGCAAACTCAATCATCGCATGGGATTACACATGCATTTGGTATTTTATATGTGGGAAATGAACGAGGAATGAGGTGAGGAGAGACGAGTGGACACTCATTTAATTGGCAGTAAAGGACATGGGATAGCGATACATGGGTATATGTACGTGTGGAATGGTTAATAAGATTAACCAATTGAATGTTGAGTGTCCAACACTTAATTAGACTCTAACTGCACGGCGACTGCCATCGAAAGAGGGGAAGGCTATTGCTATTCGCTACCCACCATTCATTATGGTCAGGACCAGGCAGAGGGCATCCTTTGTCTCGTATGCATAGGCCAGATTCACCACAAAGGGGGAGTTGATTTTCTGCAGTATCTGCTTCTCGATGAGCACCATCGATTCGCCCTTGCGTTTCTTGATGCGTTTTTTCTCCAGCTTTTTGCACGCATACATTTTTCCAGTGGCCCGCACCTGCAAAAAGGAACAACAATGGACACGGGGGGATGGATATGGGTCATGTGGATTTAGCGGTTGGGCTTTTTTTTTGTTAGCGGCTTACCTGACAGGCGCAGACCTCGCCAAAGCCTCCCTTCCCGAGGACACGATACATGCGAAATGTTTTATAGGTGATTGGCTGTGCCTCCAGCCACTTCCACTGCAAGTATCTGATGGGAGAGAGCGTGAGATTAATGTGGATTACGCACTGGATGGATGGATGAATGGACAATCCCTCTTACCGATGAAAGTACATGGAATTCTCAAACTCTCGGAAGGGTTCGCCGGCCAGGAACGCCTTCACCGCCTTGACGCACTGGGCAAAGATGTCCTTGCCGCCGGAGTTCAGTTTGTTACGCACTTGCGCAATGAGATCATCGTTGAGCACGTCCAGAACAAATTCGTCTGGCGATCCTCCAATGCCAGTTGCAACGCCGCCGCTGATCGGCTTCTCTGCGGCAGCATCGTCATGACTGTCGCCGCACTCGACGCCCTCATC